ATTATTTTTGACAGCTTTTTTGCGAACGATGTCATTGCGTTTTTCATGTTCCTTTAATGCCTTCTGTTCAAGCAAACTTAAATTGTCAACAGTTTTACTGACTTCCATAGATGACATTTAAAGTTTTGTTTTGTCAATATATGTTTGTGTGGAGTCATTCGACAGTTCTGGTTCGAATCCGCTTTTTACGCGGAAAGGATAATTTTCAGTGTTCTCATTAGGATCGTGGAACATGTATCTGCATTTCAATTTTCTAGCAAATTCATTGAAATCTCTCATGAATGAATTTTTAGAATGTTGTGAGCGTGGCGAGGGAATGGATTTCAGTCCTCTCGCCAGCAATAAATATTCATCATCAGACAATATGTCCGATGTGAGATTAAATACATGTTCCTGAGCTAAGAGAACTTTTGTTTTCTGCTCTCTTTCTTGACGGGCTTTGTTATTATTAGCCCTGCGCAATTTGCGCTTTGATTAAGCATTCCGATGGAAACGACGTGCCATAGACCGTTTCACGATAACTGCGAGACTGCTCTTCGCGCATGCGTACAAACACCTCCGCAGGGCAACTTTATTGAATATTGCGCTTTCGGTTTAATCATAAGATTTGTCTCAGTATGGTACGCTCTTGCTGTGTTGTCAAATGTTCAAATCGTGATGATACGAAAGGAAAACAGAAAGGTCTACACTTTTTCAGGTAAGTCTTTCAAATATCTTTTTAAATTTTCTAAAATCCAGGTTGAATCGTGGTAGGCCCCTTTTTCCTTGCGTATTAACAACCAATATGAATACAAGTATACATTGTTTTATATGGTTTTCGTATTCATTATGCCACACAGTGTGTCATTTCATAAGAGGAGAGTACATTATATTTAAAAAGTTAAAAGTTATATAATGTAAAGCATCCACATACATGCATATAACTGTGTATTTAAGAGGCAGTCCACCAGGAAACCAGGCAGTATTGTATTAATAGGCGGCACATCGAATGTGACGAATATTTGATATTTTATTGGAAATGATATAAATGTAGCCCATATGGAATAATGAAAGTAATGATTTGTTTGAACATAGCTTATTTACTAAAATATCGTTTTGTTTTTTGTTCTTGAATTCCCCTATATAAACCATTGAATGTAGGTCGGAAACAAAGAATTGTAAATTCTAATACATTTTCAACAGATCTATAATTCACTCCAAACTAAATCAAGAAATATTTCATCTTTCAATTTAAAAAATAAAATCAGTGGGAAAAATATTTTCAATAGTAGTTTTCTTGCAAAATAGACAGTCATTTTTATGAAATTCTGTGATGCAAGAGTTATCTCCCGTAGCATCGGGAAATCGGCTAAACATCTTACTATCAGAACCCCTGTGAGAAATTTAGAACTGATACGCTAAAGAATATCATTCAACCAAAAATAATTGGTTTATTTTCAAAAACGGAATTAATTTTCACCTCCAAACATAATATTTAGTTTAAAATTTGCTTTATTATTCAGGTTGAATCCACGTTTCCATTGATGTATCAGTGACGTCAAATACCTTTCTAATATTGCGTCACAATAGTTGCAATTATTCCGCGGAAGTTGGTAAATTTATGTAAACGTGCAAAGAAAAAGATTTTCAAAAAGTTAAGTTAAATAATTTCTCTTTTCTGTCCAATTACTTTTCCGAGTGCATTAAATAATATTGTGATCCAGAATGTATTTTATTCACCAGCGGTGCCTCAGCTATAGATGTTTTAAAACAAGTCAGTATTGATAAGTAATATTATTAATGTACAAAACGTCTTTACAGTAATCATAATAGGATTAAATTGATAAAATTTGGATGTGAAAAGATTAAGGATTATTTCTTATTATTCAGTAATAATGAATATTCCAAATTTACGCAACATTAAATTCAGCAAAGTCGAGATGTGCACTTCATGAAGTGTTGTTAATACTTGAATATGTTAACTTATATGCAGTAATATCAAATATCAGCATTATACGACTGTCGGACCGAATAGGTTTTAACAGTTGTAAGAACGGAAGTACTCGTCACATCCCACTTAATTAATATTAGCAATGGTTGTTTACTATTAGTGTCGGTAGTTCAGATTCTGTTTAGACTTTAATTTTTCAAAAATGTAATATCTGAAATGGAAAAAAAAAGTTATAGAAATCAATAAATTTACAAATTAATGAGGAAAATGTTGCCAATACTACTGCTGGACGCCCCACTTCAAGCTGACATTAAAACGGCAGATGATTGAATGGAACATTTTTTTAAAAATTTTTTTAAATGTTGACAATTGTTCCACATATCCTAATACTTTATACTGAGTTAAAATAAGTCAGTAGGTTGGTAAATTTCCAAAATATCTCATTATTATCAAACCAGTTACAAAACGGATGCCGCCCAGACGAAACCCCCTCCCCCCGCTTTTTTTTTTTTTCGTGTGATCATTTGTGGGCTCTATTATCATGATTATATGTATGTAAGTGTACAGGTTTTTTCTTATTTATTTCAAATTAAATTTCTTAGAGCAGGAAAATATTCCTTAATATGATGAATGGATGAAAAAAATTGGATTAAAGCCGAGGCTGTACACATAAAAAATACTTGCTGGATTAAAGTACGTGCATGTATAATTTCGCCACTGCAGGACTATTTTTTTTTTTAGATTTTCTTTTTAGTCCAGATAATTTAGAAAAATATTTTGCTTGGAAATGAGATATTTTATTAAGCTTAAAATTTGCTATTAATTGTTACATGAAATAAATATCTTTTTAAATAGGTGTATCAAGAAATCAAACAGATGTTTTACAAGTAATTAAAAAGATCTTCATGGACCTGAAAAACATTTAGTAATTAAGATTTATGTAATCTATGGATAAAATTATCTAAAAACCTGTAACTCACAGAAAAGAAATAAAATACAGACATATTCTTATAATAAAATACAACGAAGAGCCGATTTTAGAAAATATTTCTAATTTTTAGTATAGAACCAATCCCGATTGAAATAAAACCGATCCCGATCGAAATTAATGGAAAATTATTAAGTAATCAAATTAGTGGTAATTGCCACCTAGAAAACATGTTTAAAAATAAATCAAGTAATTTGTAAACCATATTAAAACAAAACAACCAATTTTCATGATGAAATCATAGTAGCTTTCTTCTTTATATAATTCCGGTCGGGATCGGTTTAATTTGGTTAAATTTATAAAAAGTAGATAATTTGACGCCTCTTATTTCTCTCAATATACCTGTTCCCACCAATTTTTTAAATTGATTCAACAATTTATACTTTGTATTCATAATAACATGAGGAGAAAGTTTTGACATTTAAATGTATTGGATTTTAGAACGTAATGAAAATTGGATAGTGAATTCATTAAGTCACTTGCTTAACTCAAGTTTAGACCACATAATTTTTTTCTAAAGATACATAAATCGGTGTCTTATTCATTGATACTATAAAAGATAAGGGTTTATACTATTAATAATGTTTATTGACATATCCAGTTTTTGAGTATCTGTTTCAAATAAAACAAAACAAAAACGTAGTAAATTTTTAACCAACTTGTTGACCTTTTTGCACTTAAAATTAAGCACTTACCAAAAATAGGACTAGAGGAACACTAAAAAAAATTTTGATGTTGCCATGTGTAAACATTTGCTTTAATAAGTCTACATGCAAAAAATAATTAAAATCCATGTCATGCGATGTGCCACCCATTGCCTGGTTTTTTGGTGGACTGCCTCTTAACTGTAAAGTATACCATCTCATTGTAGTGATGTACTTACAAATGGACAAAGAATGTAATATATAAGCAAAATTTCTTTTATTTTCATATATTTATGTATACTTGTTTAGTTTATACATGTAAATGATACCAATATTGTGTGACAACAATATCTTGAGTTGAAACTGTTATATTTATTCCTCTGTTATTTAGCTAAGAGTGACAACTAGCTCTTAGCTGATCTTTATGTTTTTCTTTCAATATTCATGTATTTGTTATAGATTTCCCAAAGACGGTCGAAAGCATCGTGCTTGGATAAAGGCAATAAACAGAGATGATTTTGTGCCCAATGAACATACCTGTGTGTGCTCGGAGCATTTTGTGACTGGATGGCACATGCAGTGATGACCCGGACGATGTGGATTATGCTCCAACTATTTTTTCATACAAGATGAAGACAGTTAATCCAGAGAGAGAAGAGAGATTAGCCAAAAGAAATTTACAGAAGGTTCTAAACCTTTTTCCAATGAGACAAAATAATAATAAGATGAATTTCAAAAAAATTAAGCCTTTGGACAAAACTAAAAAATGAGAAATAAATATGGCACATTCCAAACCGATTTCACCAAAAAAAAAATTAAATGGTTTACATTCATTGAATTTAACTTTAACCATACAATGATTTTTGCTGTATCATTTCTAGGAATTTCATTTGTCGGTACAGAGAGAGCAGGAGCAAGAGAAGAAAAGTCTGGACTTTTCTTTATTTGTACATTCCTACTGCAAAGGTAAGAGGAAAATGTGTATGTTATTATTTGTATTAAGATCTGCGCCAAGACTTTCAGAGTGGGAATAGTTTCTTTCAAGATTTGATTTGGAAGTCCCGACCATTTATGAATATTTTATCCCCTATATCTCAAATACACTGTTCTCTTCTTGATGTTTTACTCAGTCCCATGTAGATAAGAATAACAAGGTTTGAATGTACTGTAAAGAATCAATTGTATTGAATTGAATTGTAAATTTTGGACAATCATCATGTTATAACCCAGACAACTGAGCTGACAATATTGAATAACTCACTAACACATTATTCAATTTGTTAGTACAACCATCTATGTTAGACATGATGGTCATCCAAAAGCTGCAATTAATTGCGTAAATGTTAAAAAAAATCAGTCAGGACATATTATGTTTCTTCTAACTTTTGGACATGAATTTGTCATTCTATTTTTATTTTAGATAAGGAAAAAGAGGAATGATGTAGTGGAAGATACAGATGATGTAGATACGGGAGTTACACTGAGGAGAGATATTGGTAAATAAATTAGATAAGCGGAGGAAAGATAAACACAGTATTGTGTTCACAATGTACACTGAACACCAATGTCAACAAACAAAATTATATGGCATACATATTTCTGTAACAAATCTAACTGTCATTCCAAGAATATCATTAATAATATCCAAAAATACTTATTCAAAAGATACGAGTTAAAAATTAGATATTTGCTGTATTTATGTAGTTTACAAGCTTTAAGTAATACAGGTATATTTTATGAAATAGTTATTAATGTACATTAAAATGTCAGCTTATTGTAATTCATGAATTGTAGGTCGCCAGTGTGATCCAGACCCCCTTATACTTGAAAATCAGAGACTTAAGTTGGAATTAAGGAGGTTACGAGACACAAGGTGGTCTGTTGCCAAGATTAAAGATGATGACGCAATGATCAGGTTCTGTACAGGACTCCCAAGCTTTGCGGTGTTTCTGTGGCTTTTCAAGTTTGATTTAAGAGATTCATACCTCTTATTCCATAGACGGTTTCACAATAACTGTGGTACTTCTCTTTATCTATCAACAAAAAACTTCGGTAAAAGTTATTAATTTGCCCTGCAAAAGAGTGGTACCGCAGCTATCGTGAAAGGGATAATTGAAAACTTTTTTGAAAAATTTTTAGTGGCCTATACTCACTAACTGTTTGTGTGTTGAAGGATTAAGGCTAAATAATTAGCAGATATTATATTTATTTCTTTGGGCTAACATTTAGCATACAGGTTATCTTGGTGAAATTCCAGTAATGCAAATTTAGTCAGGTGTATTTAATTTAAGCAAATATTTGATACAACTTTTAAGAAAATCTTATATTTATACATGTAGATATGAATTTTTTGCAATATTAATTTTAACCATCTCCAAGGCCCTTGCCAGAATAATATGCTCCTACTTTATGATATATTTAGCTACCTGGCACCAAAGCTTGAGATGATGGTCTACTGGAGAGGTAGTTCAGCAACTCCAGAGGAAAGGAGTAGAGCTAGGCGAAGCATGGCACTGGAGCCAATTAATCAATTTTTGGCAACATTGATGAGGCTTAAAGTATCTTATAGTTACCATAAATTAATACATATACTAGTTACTGTAGATTCCTTATATTTATACTTGAATATTGAATTCATTATTTCACTTTCTTAAATCACAAATTGCTAGAAATTGAATTCATGAATGGTCTGTTGATCAAGACCTTTTACATGAATTTCAGCCATAGAAAAACAAAAGGGAGTAATTTTAAATCATGAGAACTGCTTCTTGCAGAATTATGGGATAACAAATTCTTTTCGTTTAGGAATCTACAGTATTGCATAAAAACAAAATTGTTTAGTACAAAGTATTTTAAAATAAGCCACATTTTATGTTGGATTTCGTCGTATTTTTGAAAGTTTAATTTTGAATCATTTTAAAGGTTAGATTATATATACAAGACATGTGCTGCAATAGTGTCTGTATAGCCCCCCGCTGTGTCCGTATGGCCCCCATGAATAGAGGTCTTTGTACCCCGAAATATGTACAGATAGCCATCATATTTAAAGAGAGGGTCTACGTATAGCCCCACATGAATAGAAGTCTTTGTAACTCAGCTGTGTCCGTATAGCCCCCATGAATAAAAAAGACATATAGCCCCCCCCCCCCAAAGAGGAGGAGTCTATATTTATAAATAATCACTATTAAAACATTAGTATTTTTTAAGTGTACATATAGCACCGAGACAAAGAGGAGGAGCAAAGCTGGAAAAAAGTCATTAAATAATGGAATGTCAATATAAATGGGAAGTCTATGTGATTTCTAAATCAAGAAATCGACAGAAAATTATGGAAAGTGATTGGTGTAAAAATAAAGAACTTTGTCAACAAACGTTTAAAGTAGGTGTATCTGAAAAAGGCATGGATATGCCAGATGATTATGATGTAAAAGCTTACATCATAAAAAGAAAGGAAATTAAAATGTAAGAAGTAAAATACTGGTGAAAAAAAAGGAGGAGGGGAAAAGAGGTGTGTCTTAATGTAAAATGGATTATATATATATATATATATATATATATATATATATATATATATATATATATATATATGCAGTGCAAGTTAAAAGTAGTAAAATACGCATTTATTTGAGAGAAGAAAAGAAAATAACCATGGATTGTCTGGAAAGAGAAACATTTATGTCACAGAAAAGACCATTTGATCAAGAAGATGAAGGACATAAAGAGACTAAAACCGTATAATGAAAATACGATTATAGAACTAGACATTGGAAATAATTGTCACGTGTCAGCACAGAGATTCCGATCCGAAGAAGATGTGTTCATACATATAAGATACTTTAACACGAGTCCCACAGGAAAACTATATCCATCGAAGAAAGGGATAGCGCTTCCACTGGACAAATTTAAACAGCTAATTGAAGACCACTTGGATGACATAGACAATGCGTTACAAGAGGCAAAGAAAGACGATGGAAAAGTCTTCTACAAAAAACATCTCGGGCAAAACATATATGTGGCTGTGGAACAGGGATACACGTGGGTAGATATAAGGAAATGGTGGCGCCCAGAGAATGCAGTAGAAGTTATGCCAACCAAGAAGGGGATATCACTACCAGTTGTGATGTGGGAAGAATTCAAGAAGGCAATACCCGAACTGAAGAAAATGTTGAAAAATGAGTTAGACAATGTGAGATACTGTTATCTTGATCATGACAATCAATTGGCAATGTTACAGTGTAAGAGCTGTAATCCAAATGAATGGATGAATTATTAACTGTACACAAAGGGACAGGAAAATAAAACAAGAGGCCCATGGGCCTTGTAGGTCACCTGAGTATCCAGTGGCAACTTTCAATTGAATAATGGTAAAATGTTTTAAAGAAGAAATACATTATTTTGCATCTCAGAATCCAAAATCGTTATAGGGTCATGAAATATATGGGTCTTATACTTGATATTTTCATATAATAATTATGTATCATTCCATGTCATCAATACATGAATTTCAGATTTCTACAAAGGGCATTAATTATATATGTATGACATTTGGTCAAATAATCATCACATACCCTAATCTGAAATGCTCCTTTTTGGTATGCAACTTATAACACATTTGCAGTAGAATGTGTGGGATTCTCTCCCCCCCCCCCTTTATTCTTTAATATTATAGTTGCTAAAAATTGGCTATAGCAACACTTAGCTTATGCAAGTTAAAGAGTCCTTCTGTCTAAGCAACTTATGCAAGTTAAAGAGTCCTTCTCTACTAAGCAACTTTATCAGCCCCAGTAAAGATTTCATAATTTTCCTTTTGTATTGATAAATATTGCTAATTTTAATTTAGTTTTCATATGTTTTGGACAGCTCATAAATTTTATATACAAGTCATCTTTCTTGTACTTGGTGCAATTTAACCATGCATACTTTTACAAATAAATTCCAATATGTACCAGTGATATACTGCAAATTAATCCTTTCCTTTCTTAGTCCTTAAAATCTACAGTAATAAAACTTGACACATATACAAAAAATTACATCATATTTATTGAGATTTAAATTCATTCAAAAAATAATGATTTACATGTAAATGTAATTTAAAGGTAATGAAAATTCTGGATCATAACATCAGTTTGGAAAGAGTTACAATAGAACATGCACTTCACTTAAAATAAATAGTATATTGGTTCAGAAATTCAATTTAAATATGTGCACAATAATTACTTAAAAAATTAAGTGGTATCATTATGTATTGACCACCATGGCATTCATTAGTTGTGTCCAAAAGCAAGGTGTAAAAATAAATAATTGATATAATTTTAACTAGATGAAATCCCGCGCAAGCGCGGGGAATTGAATTTATACCACTACCGACAGAAAATATATTGTAGTTTCTACTGACAGCCTACAGGCTTACAGAAGGAAGAAATACTTTGTTCAAAATCCCACAGGAAGTAAATGTACGTCTCCACCTCCACAGTTTTGTAAAATCTTGAAAAATAACATTATCATTTAATTGACATTTATTGTGAAACCTGTTATACAATGTTATGGATATTGTACTTTAGATGCTCTTATTTCATTTCCGCCAAGGATAAAAGGAGTAAAAATGCACATTTTACTGATAAATTGATTTTTTTTTGGAGGGGGGGGGGGATTCACAGGTACTTGGGTCTTGGTTTATAAATATGTATGCAACTTATTGATATTTCGAAAATGTACTTTGCCTTTTTAACATATCAATAAGGTACCCGGTACATACATATTTATATACCAAGACCCAGGTACCTGTGTAAAAATTAGCTGTTTAACGCCCTATGAATAGGCCGAGTATTTGATACAAAAGACTGTATTCAGAAAAAAAACTGAAATGTATTGATTAAAGCACAAAATTTTACAGCTTTAATTATATTTGAACAATACCTTATTCATAAATTTTCTCTTTTCATGTAAGCAAGTTTAGTACAAATTGTACTTCGGGTTCTTTGCCACGATGCTCTCAGTAAGGAAAATACAAATTTTACCGATAAATTTACATATTTTACCGATAAATTTATTAGAAAAACCTACTACACATATGTAATAGTCTTTCGATATATAAATATATTCACAACTTATAGTGTTTTCAATGATTACCATTATGACCATTCACACAAAAGCTTTTTTTATGTTCATGCAGCTACAATCGCCTCGTTTTTCTTTTTAACATCGGGCTCGATGCTATATGATGTTCTAGAAGCTTCCGTCAATATTAAGATTGGCGAATGACGAAAATAATTTGCAAATTTCCCTTTTTAATCGGTTATCACAACTTATTTCTTTTATATCATTTAAATCAAGTTTTGATTGAATAATAAAGTGATGACGTTTTTATGAAATAAATAAACGATTGCTTGTTGTCAGTTTCATTAAAAACTGCCAGTAACTTAGATCCGCCAACCGGAAACGCCACCGTACTCACGTTTTTGCTATTTCATGGCTGTTTATAGAAAATAAAAGTAGACTTTTAATTTAATGTACGACACTTACTATGCGAGTGAAATCTAAATATAGTTTACGGACATCATCTTGTATATAGTGTATTGTTAGAGGAGTAAGTAAGAACTCTGATGCACCCGTTTAGGAGTTTATTTGCAAAATTTATTAATTTATAAGTATAGATTTTCTTCAGTTTTCAAACAATACTAAAGGACTTGATTGTTCATGGAACTGTCTGAAATTTTACCACCAAACATAGAATGTATGAGGCAATATTCACTTTTATTTATATATATCATCTGAAAGAAGCAAGGTTTACCTCCCTTTACGGGCTGGCCATTGACCCCTTCTTTCCATGCTACTTACCTTTAAAAAGTGTATGCTTCATGTCATAGGTGATTTCAGACAGTTACAACATTAAGTAAATACATGTATTGTAAATTGAATTGGTCCACTTAGCATATTGTGTACAAATACATTTGTTTTTGGACATCTGCTTATGTAGTAAAAAAATGAACAATTAAGTTTATATCCTAATCTTTCCACAAATATTATCAAAAATGTAATGAACAGACAAAAGTTACATTGCAAGAAAAATATATAAAATTTAAATACCTTTTAATTCAGAGTATGTGTGATTTGATTAGCAATTTAAATATTTGCACAATGAAAACTCATGTATTTCGTATTTCAGAGAAATAGCTGTATTCAGTCATTGTTGAGACCACTTCTTTAATCTTACATACTGAAAGCGAAAACAAAGATTAAGAGTTGTTCATATGGGATTCAAATGCCCGGTCTCAGGATCATGAATTTTCTTAGACTGGAGTCAAAATATCAATCATTCATAAAATGAATAATTATACACTGACTCTTGAAGATTAATAAAACTTAAGATAGTTGACAAATTCTGACTTATCTAAAATTGCTTCATGATCCTGGAGTTTGAATACATATATGAAAACTTTTATATACAAAGTTCAAATTTGAAAAATAAATTTTAAGTTATGCTCACTGTATATTTTACACATAAATTAAATATGATATTGTATCTCCAAGCTCTAATAAACACCATGCACAGAT